AATAATAATAATAATAATAATAATAATAATAATAATAATAATAATAACAATAACAACAACAACAACAACAACAACAAGCAAACATTACAGAACAGGCTCAGATATTGCACCAGCCGAGTGCCCAGGAAAAGAGCTAGATCTTTACAGCTATATGAAACAGGGTTGGGACACAAGATGAAAATGAAAAAAATTCCAAAGCATTGTGTTGGAATTACATCTATGAAAGAGCAGATGTTCCTCTCCATAATTGTAACATATGCTATTCATTTTTTGTAATGCAGTGGTTCTGTATGTTCACAATAATTCTTCTAAAATGTACAAAAGTGTTCAACAAGACCTTTTTTTAATCATTATTTTGGAAAAACATGCAAAATATGGAAAGCTGTTTTAATTATTGTCTGGTTTTTTATTTCTTTAAAAATACTGTTTTATGTATTTTTTTATTTTATTTTAAATATATATATTTTAATCATTGTGATCTACCCAGAATTATATATTTAAAATGGGTAGCTATACAAATTGAAACAAGAACTACAATACTTTTAAAGCTGAAATAATTGCTCAGCTCAGTTAGAAAAGTAGTGCGATTAGAAATGTAGCAAGAATAATGCAATGTGCAGAGAATGTAATAATAACAAATTGATTATGATTATGGAACAAATCATTTCTAGAGGTATGATTACGTTTTTGATAGAAAAGTATGCAGTATACCGAAACAGAAATAATCTCGGAATAAGTATATACATATCACTGCTACTAAAAAATAACCTTTTGGTCATTGCCCAACATTGATTAATACATTTTCAACATTCTAGACTTTTGTAACATTAGAATTGGATTTTTAGTCACCTACTTGCACCATCATTTTGAAAAGGGAAAGTATTCTTTAAAGCTGTGCCATATAAAGTATGTGGTCAGCACTGAATTAATTACTCTGCTGTCATATTATTAAGCAGCTTCTTAGAAGAGAGACAAGCATACATACTACAAAAATACAGGGTATATTCCTGCAAATAAGAAACACATGTTCACACTTCAGTGCCTTTTCAGTATGTGATATCCAACCTTTCAAAATAATATAAGGTCCCTCAAGAATTTGGCACTGAAACTAAGGCCCACTCGACCTTGCAGGGCCTGGAATGCTTAAGACGCTTGTCCACTGCTATGTTCCAGATTGTTGACAAGACAGCCTATAACATAAAAATAAACTGTTTGCTAATATGCTTTTACAAAGTTACACAGTTAAGCTCTCTCCCCACCTCCAAACAAACATATATAGAAACATAAACAAAGTGTTCTACAACTGTAGTAGGCCAACTTCAGAGTTACACAGTCTCTCCTTCACAAGGTCCACCCACATGTATCCATATTTACAGCACAAGAGAAAAATCACATTGGACAACTATGTCTAAGCAGTTTTGAAGCAATTTAGGAAGTAGCTTGCAAGATAAGACCAAGCTCCTTTTCTTTGTAAATGTCTCATCAAACTGCAGATACCAGCTGTTAAATGTAAATTGGCCAGTGAGCTGGTTCCTGACCCATGCTCTACCTTCAATGGCTGTCCTACAATGAAGAAACTAGCAAGATAGATAGTATGTACTTAATTAGGATTTAATCCAAAATGTCTGTGCTTTATAAAAACATTTTAATATGTATAGATGATGGCTTGCCAAAATCCTCTTCACACAGCAAGGAGTGTGAATTCAATTCACAGGGGTTGAGTCAGGATCACACCCACAGTCCCTATCTGGCTTACGTACAATCAATAAAATTTGTAGGCTGAACTCACAAGTGTGCAACATGACACTATTCATTAAAAAAAAAAACTACTACTGCAGCCAGTGGGCGAGTGAATATACTTCTAACTGCTTATGTTGACCCATTCATTCTGTATGCCACATCATGTGAACAGGAATGAAGAAGGCCTAGACCAGTGGTGGCTAACCTTTTTGGACTCCTGTGCCGAAAATTGTTTGTGTGCGCACTTGCATGCCAGCACCCAGAAGGCAATGTACGCAGCCCCCCCGCATCTCTGCACATGTGCACACGTCTCCCATATCCCCGCCCATGTGTGCCAGATATCCAACAATCAGTTGTCGGGCAGGCAGCACACGCATATGCGCAGTGGGGCTCTTCCGGGCAACCTCTCGCGTGCTAGCAGAAGTGGCTCTGTGTGCCACTTCTGGCACACATGCCATAGGTTCGCCATCATGGGCCTACACAGATGTTACAGAGAGCGAGAGCCCTTGTTTTCCCCAATCCTCATCATGTTGATGGACTTCATGCTTCCTGGCAGCCTTGAATAATCTCAGTTACAAAAATACTAACAACATCATCGGTAATTTCCTTTGCATCTGAAGTGTTTTCTTTTTACTCTTTGAAAAATAAGAGGTAGTTGCCACAAAGGAAGAAAATCTGTGATAAAATGGTATCATTATATTTGGCAACTTTTGATAGTTTTTAAATAACTTGGTTTCTTCCATTTATAGTTTCTTCTGACGTTCTCACTGAAATGCTATAGAAAGTACATTCATTAATTTGAGCCAGCACTTGCCTGACATTACAGAGACCAGCCATAATAACGAAGAATACTTTTCTATCTTGCAGAAGCAAAGTAATAATATAACTGACACAGGTTTCAATATAACTGAAGCACAGGTTTCTCTGGCAATAAGTGACTTGGAATAAACAATACTTTTGAGCTTTCAGATTCCTACTTTTTCACTCAGCCAGTATTAAGGATCTTCATCAAGGCAAAGTTTATAAACCATGATTTGTTCATATCTTAGAATAAGAACCTAGGCTAGAGAATTTAGCTTGAAGGCGTTGGTGTTAACGTTTTCTATAACGTTAATACTACTCTGCCATCATACTTTGTTTAGGCAAAACTATTTTGCATTTGTCTCAAGCAACAAAAACAAGGCATCATGTGATAATTTCAGCAATGCTGTTCATACTTTATATCTAGTATACATTTTGCTTTTTTTGTCTCATATCTATTTTCTGTAATTTTCTCTTCTTACAAAGCAAAACTAATGATCAGTGAAATGCCAACCATCAGATCCAGAAACAGCTTCAACCATGAATAATTCAAAATGTAATGGATTCAATGCTCCAGGCATGTAGCTCATTCTTCAATAAGTCAATGCTCCAGGATTAACAGGATAACAGAATAACAGAGCATTGTGGTCGCTAGTGGCCAGTGGTGCTGGCAGCAGATTTGGACAGTGAGGCAGTTGGGGAGGAACATGGGCCAGTCCTGGAGTCTGAGGAAGGCTCTAACAAGTGCTCTGCGTCGGAGGCAGAGATGGGCCCAGGGCGATCTGATAATTATCAGTTGCCTTTGGAGTCGGACATCAGTGAGGCAGAAGAACAGCTGGAGTGTGCATGCGCAGAGCTGCCAGAGGAAGGGAACAGCTAAGTAACAAGGGTCGACTTGGGGGTAAAGCCACAGGTAGATGGTGAATGGCCCCTCCCATTGGGAATAAAAGAGGAGCTAAAGGGGAGTGGGGTTTTGCAGGAGACAATTAGTTCATTTGGGTGAAGATCTGTTCCTGCATTCTTGCCAAGTATTGTCTATTATAGTGTAGCATCTGAAAGATATTGGCCTGGCAACTCTTCAAGCCTGATAAAGGTCTGTAATTGGAAAATATCTTGAAATTGGCCTGAACTTTGCTGGAGAGGAATTCACTATAAACTAAATAAAAGGGGTTTATCGAGATGAGTCAGTTTCGTGCTGCTGGGGAAGCCTAAGTCAGAACACAGAATTGGAAGGGACCTTGGAGGTCTTCTAGTCCAACCCTCTGCTCAGGAAGGAAGTTCTATACCAGGGGTGTCAAACTTGCAGCCCATAGGCCGGATGCATCACGTGCTAGCCACGCCCGCCCCAGTTTAGCAAAGGGGGAAAAGTTGCAATACATCATGTGATGTGTCATCGCGAGTGTGACATCCCTGCTCTATACCATTTCAGACAAATGGTTGTCCAACCTCTTCTTAAAAACCTCCAGTGTTGGAGCACCCACAACTTCTGAAGTCAAGTCATTCCACTGATTAATTGTTTTAACTGTCAGGAAATTTCTCCTTAAATCTATGTTACTTCTCTCCTTGATTAGTTTCCATCCATTGCTTCTTGTCCTGTCTTCAGGTGCTCTGGAAAATAGGTTGACCCCCCTCTTCTTTGTGGCAGACCCTCAAATATTGGAACACTGTTATTATGTCACCCCTAGTCCTTCTTTTCAATAGACTAGACATACCAATTCTTGAAGCAGTTCTTCATACGTTTCATGCAAATATGAAGAAAAATTTACATATAAGAAGGGAGGAGGAAAGAACCAGCCTTTTCTGTATATTCTTGGGATGCTCCATTCTAGAATGAGAAGACTAATTGATTTACAGAGTCCCAAATCAAAAGGAGTTGAGAAGCACTTTAATTTATTAAAAGGCCAAAGTTTTTGTGAACTGTAGCTCATTAGAATGGCTATATTGATACAAGATTTACACTGGAATGAGGTCAGGATGAAGGAAAGACAGGATGGTTATGCAAATGTAAATTGGACTGTTCTTTCTCAGGCATAAGCTGAGTCCATATTTGCATTCAAACAACTTCTCAATCCAAAACAGGTTTTCACAAGCAAAAAAACAACAGGATACTAATGCTAATACACAAACATATAATACAACAAGCACAGCTATTTATTTCACCCTGACATCTAAGTGAACGGCATCATCATAAGACCCAATATGTACACCCATAAAATTAGAAGTCCCTTCACATGTTCTTCCTCCTATGAAATATAAACCATCAAATACCACCATCTCTCCTTCTGGATTCTACATAAGATAAATTTTGTGCTCAAGAATTAATGGTGCAAAAGTTTGACATCAGCACCCAGAACAACGATAAAATAGTATTAGAGCATTTCCACTTTCCAGGACATTGTACTGCAAAACTTAACATCACCATTTGGGAAAGAGCATTTTAACCACCTGATTAAGCAAGAGATTGCTGAACTCACATAACCTCAAAAATTTGGGCTATCTCAAAAGATTTCAACAGACATAATGGTTTTTTAACACGTTACAACTGAAAATTGATAAGGTATTTAATCTGTGTCACATATAACCTGCATCTGTATAACCATCCTGTCTTTACCCCCTTCTCAACCTCTCATTTCATACCATTTGAAATTGTACCTTAGTTTAGCCACTTCGTGTATTTGTAGGTTTTTCTGGTAGCTTAGGTGGCAGCTATCTTCTGGAACGTTTTCTTTTTGCCATATTTTTTTCATTGCCATGGCTAGTCAAAAAAAACTTTTCATGTATATTCTGATCACTAGAAGGCATATATACCATCCAAATAAACTGGAATGAATTATAAGCTTTTGCAGCAAAGTTGTCTTTGCTTCTTAGAAAATTCCAGTTGACAGATTTCCCTCTGCAGCCCTCAACACCTTTTCAAAACTACAGTATTTTCAGAGAACTCAGTGAACAGAAAAATGGGCAAAAAGCCTGAATCAATAACTTCCTGCTCATGAAAGAACATTTCTATCTCTGACAGATCCAATCCTTTGTTTTAAACCCATTTTCCCCTTGAATTCTTTTTCTTAGCAATCAAGACAAAATGAAATGTTTTTTTTAAAAAAATGCAACTGATGAATACGCTTTACTGCTTCTCAAAATCAGGTGGGTTTAGATGGCAACATACCATTTACCTGTTTGAAGCTCCAGGCAGTGCTGGTTTTATTTCTCTCTTCCAACTTTGCTATAAATATTTGCTCCAACCAACTTGAGGTCCAGGAACTTTTTTTGGAGTGGCGGGTGGGTGGGGTGGGGTTAAGCCTGTCTGGATAAAGTAAAGACAGCTTTATTAAAAGCAATGTTGCTGCAAATAACAGAGCTGCTCCAACAGCCCCAGAATACTGCATAAAGGAAGACAAAAAACGTTGGTTATTTAAGCAAATTATCTTGGCTTGAAGGAGCAAGAAGGCAAGCAAAATGAATTTTCTTCACTTCTAGGGCCAAAGTTCTAGCTCAGCGCCAGAGACTAAAGTGATGATTTATCCAAAACAACTGGCTTAACTTTTCCACTCTTCTGAAAGCTTGTTTGCATTCCAAGTGCCATCTGAAGATGATCATGTGCAACCATTTCAATATTTTTTTTAATGAGGATCATTTGGCCTCTTGCTTTTTATTTTTAACTTTTAATGTACAGTATTTGGAGGCTGCTACATTTGAGTAGATTTGTTCAGAATGCAGAAAAATTTAAAAGGGTCCTCTGGCTTAAATATCTTTCCAGCAGCCTGTATGAAAGGAACGAGTAGAGAAACTGGAGAAGAATTCAATCTAGTAATTCAAGGAGAAGCAAAAAAAAAAAGATCAGTACTACAACCCAAACATGAAAAGAAGACATTTCCCCACCAAATGGATATTGATTTCTCTCTTGTAATGGAGTTATTAACATGAGTGTTAAAAAGCAAAAGGACTCAATTCTAAAATTGCTTGGTTATTTAAATCAATCTCTGCAATGTACAATTGGTTTCTCACCAAGCTATTTTTCGGAAAGCCACACTGGAGGCAATCAAAATGTAATCAGATTCTGGAACAGAGTTACATGTTGCACAGAATGAAAATGACCAGAAGAGAACCAAGGCTCCCACAATTCAATCACTTACCTTATGATAGCTCTTTTACCCAGAAGGTCCTAGCAAATTTGCATGTATCTGCAAAGTTGACATGTGGTTTCAGGCAACAAAGTTGTGGAGCCAGAATCCAGAAAATCCAAATTTGCAGTCCTTTTTCTTCCTGGATTCAGTCTGTGGCAAGTCACTTCATAGCCTCAGATTTCCCCTTGATAAAACAATGACAAGAATTGTCCTAATTCACTACTACAATATTTAATACCAATAAAGCAAATAAGCAAATTTGCAAACTATTCCATTTAAACCACTAGAAAACCTAAGCAAAGTGTGCCTGTAAGAACAGCCTTTTTCAACAAAGGAATGTCCTGATAAATATGACTACCCCTCCCATCATCCTCAACCAGTATCATCAATGTGTGGTGATGAGGGACAGAGGGCATTAAATTATAGAAGTAAACAAAACACACACTGACTTTGTCTAGATTGCCTGCTTTGTTGTCTATTCATATGACTACTATCCTGATATCATTTTTAACTATTTCCTTGGGGACTGAGCCTCCAGCCAGATATTTACATCCAATGAAATAGCCTACAGTTCAATTTTATCCCAGATGCTGAAGCTCGTTTTACAATGAATAAAATCTTCGCGGGTGCTTTAATCGCGGGTGTCTTGCCTCGTCAATTTTTTCTCCTTTAGAAACTAGAATCAAATGTCAGTCCCCTCACACACATAGGACCAGTGCAAGAAAAACTGAATTACTAAATCCTTGGAAGCATAAATACATTGGTGGCATGGATACATGCCTGCTATGTGTAACAATCAAGAATATGCTTTTAATCCAAAGTCATCTGTCCGTTTGTTGTACTGACAACTTCTGTGTGTCCTAGACAAGGTCAGGATCTCAATATCAAAGTAAAGATTCCAAGAACGAGATCTATGTCATCTGCATTGTTCACAGAGCCTCTCTTTCCCCCTCTATCTTTACAAAGACATACAAACTTTCCTTAGAAACACAATGTGAAATACTTTCACTCTCTTGTTTGTCAGCACTCACACAAATATACACCAATCCACTTTGAAGTACATACTCTCTGAAATATGGAAAGCAGCTACTAAAAATACAAAGCAATGACATCAACCAAGAAGGTTGTTTTTAATGGAGATGAACAAAATGGGATGCCCAAGACAGATAAACAGAGTCTTCTTTTGATTTATAAGCAATTGCCATTCAGCTCGGCCAGGTTTTGAGCTCACAGTGCAAAACCATTATTTTTGATCACAACAGCAGCAAGTTTCTCTGCTATTGTGCACAACAGTTATACAATTCCAAGAAACGTTTTTGTTGAGAAACCTGAAAGACTGTTTGAAACTAGGCTATTTAGTTTAATCTTTTCCTTAAAAGTCAATTTCTTTTACAGTTACTGCCTCTAATTCAAATCCAGAAGAACTAACCAGATGTAGAAATAACCTTTTGGGCATCACATTGACATTCCTGCTTCTTTTGAAAATACTCCAATTCATTTCAGTGAAGGACCTGCAGTAATTTATTTATTTTGGGGGGTGGGTGGGGGTGAGGACAGGAGAATAAAAAGCAAGTGCTTAACTTACCCTTTGCAGTGGAAGAATCCCTTCCATCCAAGTGAAACCAGGAGTGAAAAGGGAGGCGAGGAAAAGCCTTTCTCCAGTTCTGCAAACAATGACCCTTCAAAGAGATATGAAGCATCAGAGTCTCTGTCAAGAGAAAGTCCTTAGAGTAACGTTACTTCAACTTTACAATTTTCTGCAAACTGACAAACAGTTCCGTTTAGCATCATCCCAGCAGCTGGTTTCCACGTGACGTCAGCCTTCAGAGGTTGGTTTTAAAAGCTCTTCCAATCCCAAGTCCTGTAACCTTAGATCTTCTCATATTTTACATAAACAACTTCATGGCCAGGACATTTTTAGGTTTTATAGTGAAGCAGAGTTCTTGTCAAAGCAGCCAGGGTAAGCATTCGACAATAGGCAGTTTTAGATTTCTTTTATAAGATATACTTGCCTTTTTTTTCTATATAATTTTAGTATGCTTTGTTGAGTCAAACTGCACAAATAGCACTGCTGCTGCAGCTGCTTAAAAGAACAAGTATTATCAAACTCTGGCTGACAAAAAGATTAATTTTAAATAAAAACCAAATCTGGTATTTTTTTCCCCCCTACCGCCTGGACAGAGTGAATTCTGCCTATGCCTATCTTTTAAGGAACATCAACAGCTGTAGCTGCCCTGGAATGCAGGGACCCCACCTCAGGATGGGTGGGGCAGCAGACCAAACTATGAGCAATCTTCCAAGGCTTTTCTAGCTGCTTTTGGCCAGCTGCATCAGCACAATTTAAGAAGATATAATTGATGCATGAGGAGCCAAGCAGTTAGGCCTCTTATTTTATGGGCAATTTGTAGGTTTATATTAGAACCTGTTTTATAAGTCAGTTACAAGCCATAGAGGCAGGCCCAACTTCTGGTGATGAGAATGAGCAAGACCCTCCATCCTGTCCATCTAGTGACAATCAGAACAGTGACAAGATTATTCTGTTGATATCTCTAATTCTGTCTGTTAAGCCTGAATTCCCCAACGAGTGTTAAGGAAAACAAACTAAACAGAATGTGTAGCGTAGTCAGATAGGCAGACAGGTAAATGTGTGAGATAAGTTTGTATTTTAGTTAACACGCAGTAAAAAACAGATACGCTTGTGCTATCAAAAATATAGTTTATTCCATTAGGAATTATAGCATAGTCAAAATAAACGGTCCATTAGTCATGTATCATTTCAGTCAGTCCAGTCGAGGACCCTCAATTTGCAAAGTCCGTGTTGAATAGCCAATGTCAGTTCACTTACAATAAATCAGTCCGTATTATCTCTTCTCTCCATTGAGAAATCAACACTCCTTTCTCTCCTCCGTTCCAGTAAGGAAAAACGCAGTCATCAATCCATCCAGTAATTAGGGATCATTAAGCCAGAGAGAGAGAGCTGCAATTGACTTGCTTCTTTTATGGTGCTTTTACAACCACACCCTTAATTACATTCTTGTAGTTAAAGTTACACACACTTTAACCAACAAACCATGATAACTTTATTTATTATTTTTACCCAAACCAGTTAGGGTAAACAATGTTATCCCTAACACTGTCAATCAATCCAACTTACCTGTTACCTTCCTCCTCTTCTACTTCCCTCAGCCCTGCCAAACTTAGTCATTTTTAGTCCATCATTTACTCAAATAGATGCCCCCAAAACATACATTTCTTTTTCTGGTCATTGCCTTTATTTCATTGATTGGTTCTTGTGGTTCATGGTATTCTTATTAATCAACTATTTTTCACTTCTTCTCAATGTCCAGCTTTTGCAGGTGTATTTAACTGTTCTAATATTTTGACACGCTCTTTTCTGAATTTGCTATTTTTTTCCTCCCTAAAATTAAGTTCTTTCTCTTTCTAATACATTGCCAATCTTAGTATTTTATTCAGTTTGAATAATAACCAAATGGTCAATTACTTTCACTTCTTCACCATTACTTGTGAATGCACTAAGCATGCTAATCAATACCTTTGTCTTCTTTATATTTAACATTAACTGACATTTTTACATTACATTTTTATTCTCCTAATGTGCTATATCTTTTTTATTTTCACCTAATAAAGTGTCATCTGCATACTTCAATTTGTTAGTATTTAAACTCCTTTCCATTCCAGCTGTCATATGTTCCAATTTTAATCTATATGCTATTCTTGTTAAAAATAATTGAGATAATATGCATACTTATCACGTACCTTTTCCTATTTAGAATCTTCAAACTCAGTTATTACAAGAAATTCTTGGTTATTCCAAAGGCCCCTCAAAAGAATAATCAGGTGTTCTGACATGCTCATTAGCTTTAATATGTTCCACATTCAGGAATGTTCTATATAATCAGGCCTTGCTGTAGTTATTAAAGGAAAGATAAACTTCATTCTTCAATTCTCTTATAGTCATGCTTATCCATCGTATGTTAGTTGTCTCATCTTGTGTCTTTTTGAAAATCTGCTTGTTCATTTTGTAATTCTCTCTCCGTGTGCAATTTTTTTTTTTTTTGTAAATCTTTAAAATAAATTTTTGGTTGTGTGGAAAAATTGGAGGGTAATAGTTCAGTGAATTGCACATTGTCTTGCA